AAAAAAAAATCAAAGCTTGACGCAAAAACAATGAAGGCCGAAATATTACGTTTACAACTATTTGTCAAAAAAATGGAAGAAAGTGGAAAAAAAACTGAAGAAAAAGAAATAAGGGTTTATTCGGCGGAGGAGGAAACGAATAAACAAAAGGACGTTCGTTCGCCGTCGGAGGAAGACATTGAAGGAGAAGGAAAAGATTTTTTGTCGGAAGAAAAAGAAAGTACAAAAGAAAGAGATGTACATTCATCATCGGAAGAACACGTATCAATTACTTCCCACAAGTTGTAAGTACATATTTATACGTTAATACTAAAAGAAATACTTTAATTAATTTGCTAACTAACAATAATCGTTGAAACTGCATTGGTACATAATCATACAGTATATATGACAACTTTACTTCTTGATGAAACGCAATGAATATCATAAATTACAATGAAAAGTCAGAAATAATGTTATGAAATATTGATTGTTGCATATTTTGTCATTATATACATGTATTTATTATTTTCAGAAGTGAAGAAATTTATTATGATTCTCCGACCGCGGTTCAGTCCCCACAGAATGCAGGAGCAAATGAGACATTTTCCGATGTAACGTTACATAGTAACATAGAAAAAGAAAATAATTCTTATCCAGATAGGAGCAGGTGCAACTGTTCAGAAATCTTAAAAAGAGTCAAGTGAGTAACATCTAAAAATATTAACAATCTGGGAAATTATGCCTTTTGTGTGAAAAGCAATTTTGATTTTACATTTACATAAATATACATATTTTGAAAATAAAATTGTTGCTAACAATATTCGAAACGATTTATTTCAGTATCCTATTTATCTTACTTCATTACCACAATTACCTTTGTCAATCATAATTCCTTTTATTACTTTATATTGTCTACTGTTGACGTGCCTCATTAAAATATGTGTTCAGAGATCCTTACAAAATAATGATCAATATTCCGTGTATCTAAAATCCATGCTGAAAAACATTACATTCCCCATAGTATACTTAAATTGCTAACAAAATTATTAAACATTTTATATTATGTAATTATAATACTTGTATATGAATACTTTGCAGGAAATTTGAAGATGACACTGCGAAATCTTTTAAAACAGTTATGAAAGCGAATAAGAAATTGCTAAAAGCAATAAACCACATGAATGAAAGAAACAATAAAGTACAAATTGGTGTACACACATTTGATGAGGCGTTGGAGGGCTTTCCGTTGGAAAGTGTCGAACAATTTGATGAATTAGAAAACGACCAATCAAAGAAAAATGAACATTACAAATTGGTAAGTACCATTGTAAATCCATTACATGCAATGTGCGAAAATTAATAAATAATTCACAAATACATTAATAAACGCGAATGAATAAATAAATAAAATAAATAAATATTTAACAAATAAATAAATAACGATTGAATTAACAAATAACGACAAAAAGATATCTGAATTCACTGTATTATATAAATTTTTTGTATTATCCCAATATTTAAATGGTTTGTAAGTTAGTTAAATTATGTGAAAATAGTAATAAAATAAAGGTAATACATAATTATTTATTTTATTTCAGTATAATCATTTGTGTGGTATAGGTGCTTCTAAGTTACGAGATTTCGTACACATGTGTTTTAGACAGACCATGACAGACGAGCTTGTGTGCACATTTACGTGGGCCGGTAGTTCTGATACCGAAAAATTAGGTGATACCAAACTCGTGAAGATAATGTATGGTAAGATATATATATATATATATAT